GTTACTTACAGATTACTGCCAGTGACAGGAACACCAATCCTCCTAACAGCAGGGCATAATCAGGCCTGTAGAGGCGGACAACCCTCATGAAGAGAACCCTGGACCTCTGTTTCTGCTGTTTGCTCCCAGCCTCCTCCTGGCTGTCCGGGATGGTGATCTCCCAGAACAGAGCAGCTCCCAGCGAGGCTCCAGCGAACATCATCCAGCAGCGAACATCCGCTCCTGGTCCACATTGGCTCTGCTCCCGGTACAGAACCCTGGTTCCGGTCTCAAACACCGCTGGCAGCAGACTGTAGGCTGTTAGAAAGCGGATCAGCAGCGGCTTCAGGTGCCCCAGAAACAGCAAACTGACAACAGTTACTGCAGACCATCGGAGAGCCGCAGAGAGCCACAGATGCGCAAAACCACCTAAAAGGCGGTGAAACACCGCAAATCCTGATGCGTAAAATAAAGAAAGGTCAACAGAAACAGCTACAATCAGAGCGATGACTTGGTAAACTTTTTTCTCTGTTTTTCCTGCCATGTTTCAGCAGCAGTCGTCCTCATATGACCTGCGCCGATGCGACAAAACCCTTTTGCTCTCCATGCTTTCAGTTTCATTTTCAGGTAAGTTTAGGGGTTTCCCGCTACTGCAGAAGGAATAATAATGCTGCAAAATGGCAAATAATACATTTCCTCAAAAAGTAGGCTAATACACACACACATAATAATATAAGTATATGTATATGTATGTATATGTTATTATAGGAGCATGAAATACATAGAAATGCAGTGTTGTACAGCCTATATATAGGATAACGTTTGAGTAATAATTTAAGGCCTACTTAACTACGTAAAATAAGACTGAGAAGTAAAACCCCCCAAAAAAGAAAAAAGGTTATAGCTAGACAGTCACAACTCGGTTTTAAAACAGCCAACACAATATGCAGTGCCCACATGCTTTAAAACATTTGGAATACTAATCCTATGAAAATATTTTAAAATACTTTCATGACACTTTATTGCAAATATGGTTCACAATAAACTTTTCTAGGGTAAGAGAAATATAGCCAATAGTTCTTGTTAAAGGTAAAATGTCTAGTAAAACAGCCTTTTTCATCCATTTTAACACGCTTGATCCCAAGTGGGGTCACGAGGGGTGCTGGTGCCTATCTCCAGCTGTCTACGGGCGAGAGGCGGGGTACACCCTGGACAGGTCACCAGTCCGGGTCAGCTTATTTCTTTGGTAAAATACTACAACTTTATACATTTTTTGTGATCAAACAAACTTAATGGTAACATACAAACTCTTTATAAATCTAGATACACCATTCTTAAAACTTACACAGATATGTATGAGAAAAGTTATGATTTTTAAATGAATTTTTATTACAATCCATGTTTATGATACAGTTGTCTAAAGCACACATCAGTGCAAATAAAAAAAACAGAAATATTGCTCTGATAATCGTATCACTGGTCAAAAAAAGTGGGTAAATCATTTCCCAGAATGACTTTCTCTTCTGTTCCATGTTTATCAATGGTGACTAAGTAGGCCACACCCCCACTGGAGCCGTCACGGTTCATTGCCAAAGCAAGAGCTGAGGAAGAAATGAAGAACTAGAATTAGAAAAAAAGTGAGAAAAGAGGGCAACCGATGTGTAGCTTGCACATCTCAAAACATCATAACATCACAAACAATAACTTACTGTTGACCACAAACTGCTGGCTCTCCTCCTTGCTCATTCCTTTGCGATACTCAGCATCAACAAATCCGTAAACATAGGAGCTTCCGGAGCCTCCAACAGCAAAAGGCTGCCTGGTCAGGAGTCCTTTGAGGGTTGCAAAAACCTGCAGTTAAAAAAATGCAAAAAAAAAGGGATAAACCTTAGGGTATATGCAACTGGATATGCATATCTGTAACAGTAAAAGTGTAGACTTGGTGCTTTATAATGAAGAGCAAGATAATTTTTATTGGTCTCTTGTATAAAAGGCCTTAAGTTTTCCAACCTGTCCTCCATCTTTTCTGTCCCAGCCCGCCACTATAAGATGTGCTGACATCTCTTCCTTATATTTGTATGAGATGTTTCTCACAAGAGTGGCAGCTGATCGAACCTTTGGGTCCTCACCTATTTCCATACTGACAGAGAAAATACAATTAAAATGTATTCATAAGATTTATCATGCAGAATCTTAAAAATTGTGTTAGTTTTAAAGCGAGGCTTTCATTCTGACACATTTGATTTACTTTGTAAGTAACTTAACTTTACTCACTTTAATCAAATTAATTCATAGTCTAAAGGATTTACAGATAACATTTGATAAATATTTACCCCAAATTGCTATCATAAATTAGATTAAGTTTTCATCTATTACTGACGCATTGTACAGAGGTGCTATACTGGTAATTATTTACACTCTCCAGATATTAAAATTGGGACACTTTATAATCCACCAGGTTCAGTCCTCTTTGTGGTTATTTTGTACGTAGGGTCTCAAAGTGTTCAAAGAAATTATCTCTCACACCACTATATTATTCACCTCAATTTCTGCCAAAACTATCTACACTTATTAAGAATCAGGCAATGTTTTTCGAAACTCTTATTGTCAAATTCTATTAGTGAATTGTAGTGTTTCCTGTCTGACCAGAATGTCTGGCTGGCCAGAATGATACCAGGTGTGGTTTTCTGCTGCTGTAGCCAATCTGATACAAGATGCAACATGTGTTTTCAGTGCATTCTTCCTACCTTGGATATAACAAATAGTCATTGGTTTGATTGTTTTGTCTGTCATTTTGAACCATCTTGTTCATTGTCCACTGACCAGTGATGTTGTCTTTTAGTGCCAACAACAAAAAGCCTACAACTAAACCACATCCAAAGCCTCTTCAATTTCCCCTGTCTTTCATTTTCATAGCCTTTTTTTTAACTGTAGCATATTAATAAAATAATGTTTTACAGGCTGTCTGGTGTAGTCAAACCTGGGGATACACATTGGGATGTTTTTCAGTTCTTGCAAGGAGCTACAGGTCACACTGTATGACGAAACGGCAGGATTTAAATGTTCACAGCTCATGATGCATGCTCACACTGCACGGCTAAAAACCATGTTGGACTCAGCTCCGCAGTAAGATGGAGCTACACAGACTCGTCTATTCGGAAGCCAAAATTAGTAGAAGAGGAATATGAAGCTCACTAGAGTGAAACGCGCTGCCTTGAAAATTTCTGCTATTTTTTGTGCTGAAAGCCCTAAAAAGAAAAGGCGACCACGTATTTGGGCTAATACATGGCTGAGCAAATGTGGCTACTACAGTCTGTCAATTTTACAGGAAGAACTCCATTTCACTCGCACCCCCGCCATGCTTCTGTGTTTTCGTCTGAGAGGAAGAAGAAGAATCCTTGTTTACGATTTGCCCACGACAGCCAACTGAATTTCAAACTTTTTGATTTACTTCCAGCCTCACGATTCCTGATCGGGAGGTGGTTGCGAGAGGCTGATTGCCACTTCGTTAGCCCCTGTAGCCTACATGACGCACAAACATCAGGCTGAAGGTCGGCCCAATCAAAAATTTCTCGCATGACTGGAGAATCAGCCCGAAAAGGGCAACAAAAATTACAGTGTATGCCTGGCTTAAGGTACTTTTCTTGAGGCCCAGTAGCATGTCTTGGACACTCGGTTGAAAAGAGGGGAGGAGCTGTAAACCAATCACCACGTGGTGGTGAGTGGGCTACGCTGGAAGAGGAGGCCGGACAGACTCGGCAGGCCCAAACAAGTAGTAAGGGTCTGCTGAAAACATCTAACTAAGCCCTCGGTCAGGGATGTGTTCAACTCCCACAGTCTACGTTCCTACCCTACCCATGGTCATGAAATTTAAAACATGACCGAAAGAACAAGATCTCAGATTCATTATTTTAGTCATAATTTTCTGGAGTGAAATTTTCCCAAAGTAAATTTTGTCAAGAATAAAACTATGATAAAAAAAAATAATAATAATAAGAAAAAAGAATTATAGCAAAAATAAAGCTTAACAACAGTCACACCTATCTAAAGCAAGATAAAGAATTTCAAAACCCAGTCTACTCTTAGAGTTTTGATTGATCACACCAATTCTTCAGTGTTTTTGACGATTTGCAGGTATGTTTTAAAATTAATAATATTTACCTGTGGACATCAAGCTGGTAGTTCACTACCTCAGCAATGGTCTGAGCATCTGCTGCAGATCCTGACAGAGCGCAGTAGATCTTATCATGAAGTGGAGACAGTTTATTCATCACCCTGTTTACCACAGATTCCCTGAATGGTGATATGAGAAAAAATGGTCAAAAAAGCTGAAATAAAATAAGAATTCCAGATTTTTCTTTAATTGAATAATAAGGCTCCTAACTGTTGAAACCCTAAGTTAAGTGGCTGAGAGATTTTGGTTACATAATCACTACAAGGTATTTCAAACACAAAAAATTTAGAGTGAACACAATAATGGGATAGACTGCTCACTGAAAGACTTTTTTCATAGAAAGCATGATGTACATAAACTCTATCATAGGTTCTGAGCAGATTGACAAGGTGTGAACTGCAGCTGGAATGGTGGCTTCATAAGCTACCACAAACTGATTACCAGGGCTGCAAGTAACAGTTATTTTGCTAACTAATAAATTTTTTTTTTTAATAATATATCAGAAATAATTTATCAAAAACTGATAAGAGATTTCTTAATAGAATATAAAACGTGGTGCTTAAACTCTGCCACCTAAGATATTGAAACACATTTTAGTGAGTATACTCCAGCTAACAGTTATTCTATTATTAGATTAGTTGACGACTATTTCAATAATTGGTCAATCTAATAATAAGATTATTAAATTATTAAAAATGTTAGCCCTGAATGCAGACTGGACATGAATGTAGGATGTTCTTTTTCTAGGTGGATCATCAAAATAAGACATCTTCATAATCGTCAATCATTCTGGTGAGATGTTTGAGTAAGGCAGTCCTATGTGCTCATCCCCAGTAAGCTATCTTCTTTTGCACATGTGCACTTTTAGGTGTATATGAGTGGTGAGCTACCGTTTCATTCGGGCTCGTCTTCATTTTCACTTACCAGTGGTGAGTCTGACATAGTGGAAAAATAGCAAATCTTCTTCTGAAAAGTAAGCTTGTATGAGCGATGCAAACATCAACTTTTAAACAGCGCGTGCTCTCGCACGTGATTAATAGACGTTCCCTCCTGGGTGCAGGTACAGGGTTGCGCACATGCATTTTTTGTTTTAAGTGGAGAGGTTGGGTCAATAATTTGTAAAAAAAATCCTCCACTATAACTTTAATCAAAGTCAAACATGAACCAAGAACATTAGGGTCTCAGTTGTGCTAAGAACAACTAAACATGCTTCACTGACATTTTGTGTTTCACCATCTGTATCTTATTTGAAAATTAAAGCCAGAATTTAATGATGCACAGAATTAAAGCTGTTTAAGGTCCAGCGTAAAGCTTCCATTAGATTATGTTGGACCACTTTGTTTGATCAAGTCCAGCTGGTGAAGCTACCAACTTGGACATTTCAGAGCACTTAATAGCGTCACTCCATCAGCTGATTTCAGTTTCCAGTGAATTTTGGTTTCTGCCCACACTGTAAAGGTACCAAAAGCTTGTTCAGTGACCATGGTGTTACTGGCTGACCAGCAACTTGTCCTGGCCGAGGATCCATGGATAATTTTCAAGTGGAAAATCAGAAACATCAGAGCCATCAATGCTCATCACCTGAAGGCTGTTTTTTAGGCTATTTGGACATCTAGACTGATCATCTCCATGCCATGAAGCATTCTTGCAGTAATTCAAGCAAGAAACCCAAATATAGAGTACATTATTATGCTGACATGTTTTTTCATGAAATCCTTTTTCTTCTGGCTTTGTGTTTTGTTTTTCCAATAAATTTAATTTTAGGTTTTCACCTGTAAGCCATAATTAACACAGTGATGATATGAATGGATGTGAATTAATGTAAGTAATGTATCTTTCACACACATTCTTTGAATTTACTTACAGAATTAAATAAACTTCAAATATACTCTACTTAAATGACATGCACTTGCATTTAATATCATGTTCATAACTCACCCAGCAGACACTCTGGAATCAGAGCCTAAGACCACCCCTCCATTAAACTCTATAGCAATGATGGTTGTCTGGAATCAGAAAGAGGAGCATGTTTTCCACAAGAAATGTAACTTTTAATGAACCTTTACCTTTCCACAGAACAAACAATGAATAAAAATATCTAAGCAGATATCACCCTACAACCCATTCACTCTTTATGCCCCGATCCAATACGAGATATCCTTGCTAAAAATCATGTTTCTCTGACTGTTCTGTATAAACCTATCCAGTTCTGGAATAGTAAATATGTAAACCTTATATCAGGGGGTGAGAAGTATCCTTTGAAACCACATACAGTGAGGCGCTGTTAAACGTGTCGGACCAAGCAGGGGTTAAAAAGCGCAGAATTACGCGCTCAACTGACAAAGTTTTACAGATATATCATTAGAATTTGTTTACTTACTCCTGTTTTCACTTCCTCGGACAACCATTGTGGCTCCGCTTCTCCCAACATGGCAGACACTTTGAAATGACGACACCGACAATGAACTATTATAAACACCAGAAGCGCACAGCAAACCGACGCGCAGGAGGCTACCCCAGTCTGCAATGGTTCTCCTGTTAGAGAAAATGTTGTTCAAAGCTCAAAGTGCCTTAATTAATTGGAGCAACACGCCAGCACATCGAAGCATTACACAGACTCCATTTTTTGTTCTGCGCTAAAACGAAATTGAAAGTTAAAGTACTTCTCGTTTGCAATGCGCAAACCAGTCTGTACCCAGAAAACTCACTATGCTTAACTTGTTTGCAGAATTATTAATACAAACAAATTCGCCCTTTGCAATGAAAATTATAGGCCCACATATCCAGTGTTGTATATTTAATCCAGGGCCGACCAAGGCATCCATGGGGCCCTAAGCAGAATTTTATTATGGGGCCCTTTATTCCTGCTAATCATATGGATTATTGCAATCAACAGTAAGGTGATTAGATCAAACAAACAGCTTCAGTAAACTTACTGCAGCTCAGGCAGGACTGCTAACATTATCCTGACCTACAAAATTATAATTATCCTATAAGTGTGCAAAATACAACTGGGGGGAGGGGTTATTGTGCCAAAATGTATTCAGCTGCCAGACAACAGTTTATAAGTGATGATCTTATATAATAACACATCTGACTGTACTTGCAGAAAGAAATTATCTTTCTATCAGCTTACTTATTTAATGAGTTATTTCTTTTGAATGTTTTTCATATAGCAAGTTAAATGAAGTATTCAGCAACATTAATTTGATCTTTTAGCCAAAGATATTAATAGGTTCTTAGGCCTTGCTACAAAGAAATATGGATGAAGAAAAAAACAGTATGCGTTTAACACTTGCTTAAAGTCCCCTGCTTAGTATTTGTAAATAATAATAATAATAATTAAAAAAGAAAAGAAAGAAATCTGTAGTGCAAAAACAGACACAATTTAGTTACATGAACAATACAATTTCCAGTCTTTTCTAATGTTATACATTTCAGATGTTATAAATTAACCTGAAAGCATGTAAAAAAAAAAGTGGAAAAAAACCAAACAAAATTCAGTCAAATAAATTGCTCTTAAAACCATGTAGGCAAATATATCTAAAAGCACTGCTTAAAAAAATAAACTACCTGTACCCACAAATGTCATCTTATTATGCTAATCTTATCATTAGCCCAAGAAAGTGTGCTTTCCAGCTTTATGGCTGCAAATACATTCATGACATCACTGTGACGCTGATGATCAACTTTTTTTTATTAATATTAATCACTGTCGGTCCTCTCAGTCTGTCTTCTGCCACAGAAGATATCAAATAGTTCTTCATTAATTTCAGCACAGAAGATGAAGATGCAACAACCACAGGGATAAAGGACATCTGCAGAGATATCCAGATATTTGGGCAGAACTCAGACCTGATTTGGATAGATAAGTTTAAATGAGGTCATCTGTGCTTTATAAAGATTTGGTAATGATCATGGTGTGTGTGTCTATTTGTGCGGTGCGGAGGTGCGGAGCAATCATCTATCTGCTGCAGCCCTCTTAATGAGCAGTTTGAGGATCACTCATTGCATGATGGTCCATGGTTTGTTTCAAGCATTTATACAAATCATAGATATATTCATACAAATATGAACAATTGAGCACAAAACTTATTTCATTACAGTAATCATATAGAAATCAATAGGATGACCCTTGTTACCTGGGGCCCTAGCCAGCTGCTTTATTAACTTATGCCTTGGTGCAGCCCTGATTTTCATCATTAAAAACTACGGAAAAAGAGCACAAAGAGGCTTTGGATAACACAGAGTGTAAAATTTTATTACATAAAATTACAAAATATTTAAGCATTTAAAATTGCATAACTAGATGAGGCCTTGTCTGACGGTTGTAACTCAATGGAAAGTATTTTTGTTTGTGAATTAAAAGCAAATTATGTCGATGAGGAATTCTAAGTAACCTTACTATAAATTCAAGCATAGGTTTTCAAACTCATGCCTGAAATAAAAATCATTCATCATTGAATTTGGGCAGCTTGTCTCCAGGTACGACCACATGCTCCACCCCCTTTTCTGTTATCACCACCAGATGAACAACACCTCCGCTGACGTTGTCCCTGCCCATAGCCAGAGCAATAGCTGCGGAGTAAAAGGAGGAAGTAAAATAAGTGAGGTTTAACAGGCACAAAGTATTGAAGGTACAGCCACTGTTATAGTGACAACACATTTTGATCCCTGTTTTATCAGTATTTACACAGCAGATATGTTCAGGAATATATAAATCATGGTTATTTACTTAGCTTTAACTTGTTCAGTCTCCTAGTAACACTTTTAAGACACTGTTTAAAGTTTTTAATTAACCATGTTTCAAACTTTAAAAGACGCTTTATTTCAAACAAAATCTAAATTGATAGAAACAGAAAGTGACATTTCATTTAATAGTACCATTGGTGGCAAACTGTTGACATTCTTCCTTAGTCATGTTTGGTTTATATTTAGCGTCAACATAACCATAGATGTAGGTGCTTCCTGAGCCGCCAATGGTAACCGGCTGACTGAGTAACATCCCACCCAGAGCCACAACATACACCTGGAGAGAGAAGAGAAACATCAGCTGTAAAGGGCAAATACAGCAGTATTTTTCTATTATTTCAAAACCCTCAGATCTCATACTAGTCGCCCCACTGTTTCCTCCGGTATTGGGTTCCCTGTTTCACAGTCAGGTTGAAAAATCACATTACTCCTCCTGAAGCCGAGGTTTGACAATCAGCTGGACTCTCCCCTCTAGCACTCTGGATTTGTGTCACTGTGCGTATTCTCATAAAGATTTCTCCTCATATAGCCTGGTGGATATAGTGGTTGACTTTCCAATGAAACTATTGCTGTTCTCCAAAATATGATCTATTAACAGAACTTTCTTCCAGTTTCTTGCAGAAGAAATGGAAAAATAAAAACCTTTATCCCACTTTTGTCCACTTGTCTGGAATAAACAGTTTTTATCTGTAAGAACCTCAACCCTGGGCCTTGTTGAAGTTTTTTATTTAAGTCATAATGAAAAACAAGCTGAATTAAAACTATTTTGCAAAGAAAAGCAAATTAGAACATTGGTCCGGTGATGAAGAAACCTGTTATTATAGTAGCAGCTAAAGCTTGACAACTGTTCCTACCTAAGGGTGGCTATATCATTTAATAAGCTTAGGAGCCTCAAACTGTTTATTTATCACACTGGGCCAGAATGGTTTGAACAGATTTTCCTTGTAGTAAATGAAACAATTTTTGATATGCACTTTATATTTCCCTAGAAGATATTTGAACAATATTTTAATGTATCTAAAGATGAATTAAACATGTAAAAAAAAAAAAAAGACAACATATAAATGGGGCGTAAGTTTGATTCCCATTTACAGACCTGAGGTCCTTTCTTCTTGTCCCAGCCAGCGGTTATGAAGCCGGCCTGCAGCTCCTCTTTGTTATTGTAGCACAGCTCTTTCAGGACAGATGCTGCAGCGATAACCAGAGGAGGGCTTTCCATCTGAACACTAATACACATAAAAAAAGAGAAAAGTTGATTTATCACTTTCTGTTTGTGTTATATTAATTTGTTGAATTAATTTCACCACATGCAGTATATCTATTTGCTGTAAGCTAACAGGCAGCTCTGTGATGCGTCTCTGGGAGGAATTTTTATTTGTACAGTAATCAGAAGACCAAGTCATCGTTGAATAAATCTCATCAAACACTGGTGAAGGTTCTCAGTCATCCAGGTCATAGTCATTCCAAAAATATGTAAAAAAAAATTCCCTAGACTTTGTCTCCAAGTTTGAAGATGTTTAGCTTCCCATCCAGGAAGCTTTTTCAATTCAAAATTAATACATTTTTGGATTGAGAAAGCTTCCTGGATGGGAAGTGAATTGTCTTTAAACTTGGAAACCAAGTTCAGTGGATTTTTTAAGACTTTTTTGGAATCTAATCAAACACACAAAATGTCCTACATTATCTAAGAATGTATCTGTTTGAAAAAGGGTATGTCAGGAAAAGGAGACCTTATCTTATTCTGGATTGGATAATCTGTATAGAAGAGATTAAACCTGCAAAATAAGTAACTTGTAACATATATATACCGTATATATATATAAAAAAAACACCAAAAAATTCCAAAAACAAAATTCACAAATATTAGAAACAGTAATAATAGAAGTAAGAGAAATAATATTAAAACATTAAGTACAATTTTGAAACCACAATATTTGTCATTTTTAAATCAACAAAAACTATACTCTATTCAGGATGAAATAAAATAAAAATTAGAAAATCATTTTTGGTAGAAAAAATGTATAGGTGGTTTAATTTGCAAATTCACAACATTTCCCATCAAAAGTGAAACACACACTGATTTATGTTGGTTTATAAGCCTGTGTGCGTTTGTCTTTGAGTGCCTGTGTCTAGTTTTACAGTTTGCATATACATGTTGCATATAGTAATCGATTAAAAATAATAGACCAATCTGATTTTCTTAAATTTCTTGATCTCAAGGTATATCTGAGAAAAAAGGCAAGAAAAAACAACAGGCCTGCAACTAATGATTATTTTGCTAGTTGATTAATCTGGCAATAATTTTTTCAATTAATTGATTAATAAGAAGAATTTTTAGGAATTTAAACCAGGAGAAACAAAAACTTTTACAGTTGGGGAGTTCTAGATAGAGCATACTAACAAATGAAAAAGTTTTTATTATCTTAAACTCTAAATATTTATATAATTTTGTACAATCTTGGTATAATTGCTGCTCAAGATGGGTCTCTCTGTCAGCACGTTTTTTACTGTCTCTTAACAAGTAATCGATTGTTAAATTAGTTGCTAAATCAATGGATTAATTCCATAATCGATTAATCACGATTAATCCGTTTTTTTGTTTCAGGCCGGCTTTAGATATATTATATACTAAATGCTAAAGCTATAACCAATGAAACTGATTGATTATGCTTAGTATTCCATGAATTATAAGGCGGTTGGAAGCTGGAACTGAGATAAGATGATGAATATAGCTGCACCTTATTTATTTGTGTCACCTTCAGGATTTCTTGTAAATCCCTCCTTATTGTTCTAAAATGGGGAAATTCACTCTCTGCATTTTAACCCATCCCCTTGGGGAGCAGTAGGCTGCCATTGTGTGGCGCCCGGGGAGCAGTGTGGGATTAAGGGTCTTGCTCAGAGAGCATAAGTTCAGGCTGTGGGGATTAAACCAGGTACTTGCAACCTTTTCAGAGCAAAAGCGCACTGCTCTAACCACTAGGCCAACACTCCCCACATTTCGTACGGATAATCATAGAGGTAATTATAGCTGAAATGATATAGCAGAGGTTGTCTTAAATTAATGTAAGTAGCAATATTTTATTCTGCTTCCATTCAACACAATCAGGTTTTTCTAAAATAAGGAACTCTAATTTCCAACACATTGGTATTGCACTGCATTAATTGGACACTGTTTGGTCCAAGTTTTTTTTGGCTCATTTTAGATTTCTGAAAATTAAACTTGGAAAAATTGGTAAACATGAGCATTTTTTTTTAAACTAGCAAAATCAGAATATGTTTTATATGAGGAAAAAAGGCTGGGAAAAAAATAAGCAGCTGCACATTTGGAAAACGCCATTTTAAAAATGCTATGAGATGACACGTCTGAACATTAATGTGTTGTGTCATAATATAATTTAGAGTTCTTACACTACGTTTCCTTTGCAACTGTTAGCACAGAGAGTTTGGATGGTAAACTATTAGTATGAATTGATATAGTTTTAAACTGTGTGACAAAGTTTTTGTGTTGAATTTCATAATATCTAGATGAAAAACATCTATTTAACAATGTCTTTCTTTGTACTAATGTGTTTAAGGAAAAGTTAGTAAAAGTTGTTGATATGTTTTCAACTTACTTACTGCCCAAAATGCATTTACAGGTGATCATTATAGACTTTACACTGCTGCCTTTTTAACAAAATCGGAAGTAGTACCTATGCTTGCATCAGCGCCATGTGGTAAAGGTGACAAGAAACTATAGAACCAAAAGGACCCCAATATAAAGAAGAACTGGAATTAATGATGCAAATGTTAGAAGGTGTGAATACCTGTGGAAGGACAGGTGAAACTTTGCAGTCTTGGTGACAGCTTGAGCATCTGCGAGTGAACCAGCGATGCAGCAGAAAATCCGGTCATGAACCTGAATAACCTTGTTGATGGTCTTTGAAGATACATATTCCCTGAAAAAAGCCAAGGAGAGGAACAATTCTCTCACAATGAGAACGTGATACTTCATTGAGATATGTATAATGAAAATAATAAATATTATGTGTTAACTATGTCAGTGTAAGTTAGTAATTTCCCTGATTCATATTGTTTTGGGTAAATTGCGTTAAATGGTAAGGCCATTCATCCCTAAAAATGAACCTCATATCATTTAAATGACAATGCAACACTGGATCTTGCTTCTACACTCAAATATGAGATTTTAACTCAAATGTATATAACAGCATAACATTTTAAAACACATTTTTTAGTGATGTGTTATTGCATTTTACTATAGTTCAGACTCAATCACAGTAACACACCAGTCACCTCAGATATTTGTTATATTTCACAATTTACAAATCTATACATTCAATTATAAAAAAGGGGAATATAAATTCTCATAAATTAATATTCTGGGTTAGATTAATCTAACCTGGAATAAACATTTTTATTTGACTGGTATTAATGGTATATGTATTTCTTGAAATGTATTTCCAAATCCCATTTCTAAATTGAGTTTTTAAAAACACAATTCAGAAATCTTATTAAATAACTTTTCTAATCAAACATTTAAAAGGGTAATGCCTTATTTCATTTTCTTTTGCATTTTCTTTTTTACTTTACCCTCTTCTTTTACCTTCACAATGGCCCTTCTGATTACTGAGCATCCTGGAAACCAGTTTAACCAATCACAGTTGCTCCTCATATAATCAGCTCCCTCATTGGTCATTTTGTAAATTAAGTGTTGCAGTCTAACCAATGAGATTATAGAGATGGATACATTTTGTATGTGTTAAATCAGTCATTTTACTGGATTGTCAGAAATAAGGTTATTCAATCATATATTTATTAAGTAAATCAGTAGATATCTATAGATTTATAAATTCTTAAAAGGATTAAGAAATAATTAGGAAATAATTACACGCATCAATAGCGTTATGTCAGTGTCAGTTGTAAATGGTTTACCCCTAAAGAGAGGTGGGGTTACTATACATTTTTAACTGTTGTCAGTACACTTGGAGAGAAGTTATGTATATCATTCTATAAAGTGCCCTGTGGATACTAGCTCAAGGAGCTCAGTGTAAAAAGGGTTAAAAGTACATCTGACAATGTACTGAAACATTTAACAAAAAGCTCACCTGTTTTAATTAGCAAAAGGTAAAAGGAATCTCATCAGTTTCCTAGATGAGAGGTTCCTAACCCTGAGCAAAAGGACCTTCTGCTGCTTTTTTTTCATATCCCAAAACAAGCACACCTGATTCGATCAACAACATTACCTTCTAAACATGCCATTAAGATACACACAGAAGCTAATAACTGACTCAAAAATGTAAATGAAAAATTAAAGCCCCCTTGCCACATCATCACCAGTGTTCTTACCCTCCTATTGATGCTCTGGAATCTGAACCAATCACAACCCCTCCATCAAACACTGCTGCCAGGATGGTGGTCTGAGAAAAAATAAGATGAAAAGCAACTTATAGAAAACATGATAAAAGCATAGCATTTCTAATTAAATATACATATTTTTCCACTATGAGGAAGCAGACAGGTGCGATGAATTCTGGGACTTGTAGTTTTGATACTGGATAGGCAAAAACACGACAGAAATGAAACTTCCAAATAAAGCACTGTCTTTACATTTGACTCCGAGGAGGATAAATCGTTTAGGAGTTTTATTATTCAGGTTAAATAAGAAACTTTGATTATCTACGTTTTTTGTTGTTTTTATGTCATCTGCTTAGAATGCTCACCTGTTCACGTGTAAATAGGATATTGATCATCCGTAACATTATGCTGCATCAATTATGAATAAATATAAACCTGTAGGGATTTACTCACCCCGGTGCTGACTCCTTTGACTTTACACTCCGTGTAGTGTTTCTCCATTTTCTCTGTAAAATCGAAAGAAAGGAAGGAGACGTGACGCTCAGAACAGCGACCTCAGGCGCAGCGCTCCGAGACGCGCAGAGAATCCGCAGGAACATCAACGATGGCGCTGTCCTCTGTCCTCCAAACTCATCCAGCGGGATTCAACTTTGACAATGTGGCGAGGTAAGAGGATTACTTTACTGTGCAGAAGTTAAAACAGCACATCAATAGAGAAAATATCATATGAAAACGTCAGTTGAAGCAGGTCTTTCACTTGGATCAAAACCGAAAGTATTTTTTCCTTAGTCAATGAACTACAATTTCAAGGTGTGACCCTTGTTAATAATAATCAGCAGTTTTCTCCAACTGTCATATTAATGCTCCTCTTATTTCCCACCCACCTCGGTCATTTTTATTTTTTTTAGAAATTCTGCGTTAGAGGGTCTTTTTGAAGGAGGACAGACCCCCAAACCTCTGAAAACTGGAACCACTATAGCAGGAGTTGTGTTTAAGGTGAGTGCTACTTATTGTAGCTTACTTAATTGTTGTTGAAGAACAATAGCGCAGTCTATATCAAGCAAGGTAAAAAAATATGTTTATAAAAGAGCACGCATTTCCAGTGTCCAATCTAGAAATGTTTCAATCTGAGGGCAAAGGAAGCACAAAATGTCTAAACAGGGTGGTGATGCAGGATCTCTTTACCAAAATACACCAGAAATTTCTTAGATGTAAATGGAATCTACAAAATATGACAAAAAAATAATTGGGTAATTTTTTCTTTATAAAGAATTTATAAAAGAGAAGAATTTATAAAAGAAAAGACATCTTTAATTCAATAATAACATGGTGGGGTAACAATTAGAACTTTAGATATACACACTTGACATAATTAATTGGTGAAACCCTACCTTTTGCGTTATGCAATAGGATGGAGTCGTCCTGGGAGCCGACACAAGAGCCACGTCCAGTGAAGTGGTGGCCGACAAGATGTGTGCAAAGATCCACTACATCTCTCCAAATATATAGTAAGTTTAATAAGTTTTGATTAGAACAATGGCGGAAGTATGCCATCATAGACCTAATTAATGTTCACTCATAAGTTTTTGAGAAAATATTTCAGACAACAATAAAACTAGATTTTTTTTCAGCAGAGTTTTCTTTAATATTTGACTCTCCATGTTTCTTTTTAGATTATTTTATGATCCATACAGAGCTTTATGTTCTCTTCACTATGTATGAAAAATACTCTGAATAAAGAGTAACTGATATAACATCAGCAATTTGAACTTATGGTGCGTTTTATGGTACAGTGCTGTTTGTGTCAATCTATCCTTGTCACACTTGTTCTAGAGTCAGGTATGGAACTGTAGCACCATACTATATATATTAAAAAAAAGATGAACTGAGAATTGATAAAATCTTGCACACATGTTGACTTTCAATTAAAGATAGAGTAGCATGGAATATGTGTTATTATGTCTATTGAAATAAATTACCAACAGTGTACATTTTACCTTTCATTGTTGAAGCAAAACGCAAACCACAAAGAGTATTTTCTGCTTTATTTAATTATTTTCCTGTTTCTTTTATTATCTTTTAACACATTGTTTAATCTCCCTGTACATCAGTTGTTGTGGAGCAGGAACAGCAGCAGACACAGAGAAAACCACAGATCTCCTGTCATCCAACCTCTCCATCTTCTCACTGAACAGTGGGAGAAACCCTCGTGTTGTCATGGCTGTAAACATCCTGCAGGATATGCTGTACAGGTCAACACTTTGTTGGACAATGTGTAGAAAATGGAAAAACACCAGAAAAAAATTGGATATTTAAGCATTATTAATATTGGTATTTTAATAATAATGTATTAATTGTTTTTGTTCTCTATTGTCCTCAGGTATCATGGTCAGGTTGGTGCCAATCTGATACTGGGAGGAGTGGACTGTACTGGGAACCACCTGTACACTGTGGGTCCATATGGGAGTGTAAATAAGGTTCCTTACTTGGCTATGGGTATGTAATGGAAAACAGCATAAACAAAAATAAAAGTGTTACATTATGACATATGGTTATGTAATATATTTCAATTTACAGCTTTTCAGGTTTGTGTTATTTTTATTTATTTCATTATTTTCTTTCCATCAACAGGATCTGGAGATCTGGCTGCTTTAGGGATTTTAGAAGATGGGTTCAAACATGATCTAGAGGTAAAATACTTGACATTGTTTAGAGATTTGGGGAATATTGTTTATCTATTAATTTCTCCTCTGATCTTAATTTTCCTTTGTAGCTGGAGAAAGCGAAGGAGTTGGTACGAGCTTCTATTCATGCAGGCATCATGAGTGACCTCGGATCAGGCAACAACATCGACATCTGTGTGATCACCAGACAAGGAGTGGACTACATCAGACCCTACCAGGAGTCAGAGTANGAGATATCAAAAAAGTACTCCAGAGTTTTGTTCAGCATGGGGGTGAGTAGAAAATGAAGGCTAATCATGTTTTGGGTGTACTATTCCTTTAAAGTGTTATTTTTTATTACAGTCAAACTTATTTTCTGCATCTTTCTGCATTAAGTCAATTCTTACCCGACTGACTCAGTGAAATAGAATACATTTTGTTCCTAAACACAATCACAGACAAGCAATTGTTTGCATGAACCTTTATCCTTTAATTCAGTTTTATAATGTAGCTGAAATGTATAAACTTTTATCTGAATGTGTTGAATGTTGTAATAACCTGAAGTTGGATGTTTGTCCAGTGACAAAGCACGATTACTGTGGAGCTTTTTACTGTAATAACTCTAATTGTTTTCCATATAACAGCCCTGAGTACTAATATCCCACTTGTCTTTGCTGCATAGGATGGAGTCGTCCTGGGGGCCGACACAAGAGCCACATCCAGTGAAGTGGTGGCCGACAAGATGTGTGCAAAGATCCACTACATCTCTCCAAATATATAGTTAGTTTAATTAATTTTACCTAAACCCCGATGACAGGAGATGCTAAAATCCTCTTACTATTAGTGACTGTGGTTTGTTGTTTTCGATGTAGAGCAGAGCTACCTCTGCACTACAGAAAAACTTGCTTAGGATGAAAGAACCATGCAGCACAGTTTGATCCAGTTATATATCTAATTTAAATATATGTTTAACTGTAAACATAAACTTAAAAATGCTATGTCATTTAGTAAAGTAACAGATTGTGTGTTCATTTTAGTTAGAAAAAGTCATCACTCTTCTTGCATATTTTCCTCATCTTCATACAGTACTCTTTTAATCCGATTTAATGGTTTCAGATGACTTTCAATATGTTTTCTGTTTCATTATCACATATCCCCTAATTTTTCTCTGTTTACAGCTGCTGTGGAGCAGGAACAGCAGCAGACACAGAGAAAACCACAGATCTCCTGTCATCCAACCTCTCCATCTTCTCACTGAACAGTGGGAGAAACCCTCGTGTTGTCATGGCTGTAAACATCCTGCAGGATATGCTGTACAGGTCAACACTTTGTTGGACAATGTGTAGAAAATGGAAAAACACCAGAAAAAAATTGGATATTTAAGCATTATTAATATTGGTATTTTAATAATAATGTATTAATTGTTTTTGTTCTCTATTGTCCTCAGGTATCATGGTCAGGTTGGTGCCAATCTGATACTGGGAGGAGTGGACTGTACTGGGAACCACCTGTACACTGTGGGTCCATATGGGAGTGTAAATAAGGTTCCTTACTTGGCTATGGGTATGTAATGGAAAACAGCATAAACAAAAATAAAAGTGTTACATTATGACATATGGTTATGTAATATATTTCAATTTACAGCTTTTCAGGTTTGTGTTATTTTTATTTATTTCATTATTTTCTTTCCATCAACAGGATCTGGAGATCTGGCTGCTTTAGGGATTTTAGAAGATGGGTTCAAACATGATCTAGAGGTAAAATACTTGACATTGTTTAGAGATTTGGGGAATATTGTTTATCTATTAATTTCTCCTCTGATCTTAATTTTCCTTTGTAGCTGGAGAAAGCGAAGGAGTTGGTACGAGCTTCTATTCATGCAGGCATCATGAGTGACCTCGGATCAGGCAACAACATCGACATCTGTGTGATCACCAGACAAGGAGTGGACTACATCAGACCCTACCAGGAGTCAGAGTATAAGGATAACAGGTGCGTATAAACTGTATTTATGAGATGTATGTTAAACTTAGTTTACTTTTAGATTCATCTTAAAAAAAAAAATGAATTTTTATTTTAAATATATACCCTAATGAAGAATGACACAATTATTTTTTTAAATAACTAACCTCTTTCTCTCTCACAGGAATGTTAGATATAGATATCGCCCGGGCACAACACCAGTCCTGACAGAAAAAGTAGTCCCTTTGAAGCTGGAAGTTGCACAAGAAGCTGTGCAGCATATGGACACTGCCTAAACTACTTCACCAAAGGATAGCTTCTAAAAGATTAATATTTTTCATCCATCTTCATGGTTTTGGAATATTTCCAATAAAATGATTTTAATATTGTAATTTTGACTTCTCTCTCTTCTCTCTTTTTTTATTCTTTTATTATATGTTATACTTTATTTTTCTGGGAAAATAAATTAATTTAGATCACGAAACTCTTCTACAAGGATGTCCTGACTAAGCACAATTTTAATTTCATTAGAAAAACTATGTAACAACAGGTATTCCTGCACTATAATAGTTTATTATTAAATATTATAAGATAAGGTAGTTGGGAGTATACATTTCATAAAGAGATACTTTATTGTCCTAGTAAGTAAATTTTGCTCAGTTAAGACATGACGCTGATCATTGCTGTCAACAAACAAAGAAAGATAAAGAAAAAACATAAAAAAACAACAACAAAGACAGATGAAATATATAAACTTCTTGTCTGCAGCTTTTATAGTTTCTCTGCCATAAGAGCTTATCAGGGGTAATGATTGTTTCTAAGATGCGTTTATTTATTAACAATATTCTTATTAAAGATACATAGAGGTTTGTGTTTGTGTTATGTTGTAAACATAGAGGTTATAACTATGTCCGGCTATAATTTGAAATAAATCACTCACTGAATCTTAATCCCTTTTGCTTCCCAAAACCTCTGTACTTCCTTTCCACATAGAGACTGATTGTCGCGCAAAAATAAAGCTCTCCTATTGGCTAAATTAAATCATTATTTTTTTTATTTGTTTTTGCGTCAACAATTTACGCAGAACACCTGAATTAACTTAATTGAGAAGTTATCAATTATCTGTGTATAGGAATCATGTCTGTTGGAAGATATAAATGGAAAAAAACAACAAGTGCAAAGGAAGAACAAACATACAAAAATATATTTCTAACTCTTTCACTTTCAGTTTCTTTGTCACGTACAAGGAAACCATTGATCAGCGCAGTCAAACGCTTTCTTGTTTGTGAAGCGTCTGTAGGAGTTATATTGGAAAGCTTTCATAATAACTTAGGTCGGGTCTTTTAGATAATAATGGCTCTTTTCGAGGTGAGCGGGTTTAAACCTGATTCTGAAGTCCGTGCGCAGATTCTCCGTTTCGGTAACAATAGTGTTGTGGACCGGCCAAACCATTACACCTTTAATACAAAAACTCAGGAGTTTGCTGTCCCTCTGGGAGTGGATGTGAGTATAATTTCAACTACTATTAAAAGTATAAAAAGTAAGGTGATACCTAATCCAGGCGTCGTTGGTTATTACTCAGTTTTTTGTTTTTAATGTGACGCTACATGTTTCTGGAAATGCAATAAAGTAATTGCATATAGAGTCATACTGTGTTATGAAAGTGACGCGTTTTCCCTAATATGTTATGGTTTATTTAGTTGCGTTGTTTCACATAATGCGTCCTGCTGATTTGATCCTTTTTGTTTCAGCCCTCTGGGTTTCTGAAGTCCTGCAACCATGACGGTGGAGTGAATATTGACCTGAACCATGGCACCACCACCCTGGCCTTCAAGTTCAGGCATGGAGTCATCGTGGCTGTGGACTCCAGGGCTTCAGCTGGAAACTACTTGGGTATCATTAATGGCTTCTTCTTTCTTTGATATAAGGGTTCATCACCAGATATTAGGCAACATAACCAACAGATTTTTTTCTTTAATGGTTTTTACACAAATCAATCACTTTTTATCAGTTCATATGAAAAAGGAAGAGTCATAGATAGAAACATTTTATAACAGCAAATTATAGTATGTGTTGCTGACCCACCTGTTGGGAAAAAAAAAAACCCTGGTCAGGATGACTGTTACTGGTTCAGAACAGTGCTGGATTTGAGCATATAATTGGGCTGGGCATTTTGAGTAAAGGGTAGGCCACTATTTTTAGATGAAAAAAATAAGCATACACATGGCAACATGCTTTCTTGTGAAAGTGCTTGCACACAATTGTACTCCATCATCATCCCAGACCCATTATTCTATAAAAGGACAGAAAACAAAAGGCTGCTTTTGTTCCAGTTAACTTTCTGAACAACATACAGCATATAACAGGATCCCAAATTTGGGTCCAGAGCATTGAGGTGTAGAGCTGAGACATGATTACTGTTGAATATTAAAATGTATATGAAAAAAAAAAAAAAAAAAAAAAAAAAAAAAAATATATATATATATATATATATATATATATATATATATATATATTTATATATATAGTCAGTGCAACAATCCAGCACATAACAGCAGGGCGTAAAATGCAGGCAGGAAGTGCATACATGGAAGGCCACAACCAGGTAGCTGTCATAGTGTACAGGAACATCTGCCATGAGTATGGGCTGGAAGTCCCAAGGTCAAAATGGAAGACACCTCCTAAGGTAGTTGAGAATGACCGAGCTAAGATCCTATGGGACTTCAAGATCCAGACTGACAAACAGGTGATGGCTAACCAACCAGACATCGTGTTGATCGACAAACAGCAGAAGAAAGCAGTAGTGATAGATGTGGCAATCCCAAGCGACAGCAACATCAAGAAGAAAGAACACGAGAAGCTTGAGAAATACCAAGGGCTGAAAGAGGAGCTAGAAAAGATGTGGAAATTGAGAGCAGCAGTGGTGCCAGTGGTAATTGGAGCACTGGGGGCTGTGACCCCCAAACTGGGAGAGTGGCTACAGCAGATTCCAGGTAAAACATCAGAGTTCTCTGTCCAGAAGAGCGCAGTCCTAGGAACAGCTAAGATACTGCGCAGAACCCTCAAACTCCCAGGCCTCTGGTAGAGGACCCGAGCTTGAGGATGACACATACCACCCCATGAGGGGTGAGCATATATATATATATATATATATATATATATATATATATATATATATATATATATATATATATATATATATATATATATATATTTTTTTTTTTTTTTTATATATATATATATATACAGTATAGACCAAAAGTTTGGACAAACCTTTTCATTAAAAGAGTTTTCTTTATTTTCATGACTATGGAAATTGTGAATTGTGAGAATTGGGTGAATCTACAATTTTCATAGTCATGAAAATAAAGAAAACACTTTGATTGAGAAGGTGTGTCCAAACTTTGGGTCTGTACTATATATATATATATATTATATATTGGTGTTTATTTAACACCAATTCTTAAAATCAGATCATCCAATCAGGTTGGTTAAAAGTTTTCTATCAAAGGAAACCCAGATTATTATAGTCATAAGCTTTGCAGGATTCCTTCCTCCTGGATGAGCATGTAGCAACAGTAGACATTCCCTTTCAGTGTGTTGTTGACTCTTCAGCAATCCCTCACACTGAGGATGCATGCAGCAACAGTGGTGAGGAAAACCCCCCTTTAAAGGGAAGATACCTCCAGCAGAACCAGGCTCAGTTTGAGCGGCCATCCATCAAAACAGTGTTTTAACCGAAGGCTCAATAGGGATACCACAAATAAAGAATTTCAGTAAGCCAGCCAAATAACATGAAAGACACGGATTACTTTTTAAAATTCATATTTCACAAGACACCTTTTATTTTAGCCAGTCACCTCATGTGAAAAAAGCTGGATTACTACACTAATTTGCCCATCCAGTTTAAATTTGAAAACCACTTAAAAATGAAGGTTTTTGTCACAATATCCTTTCTACAATCTGTCAAATACCAAAGTCTCTATAAGACAAATACCAACTAGCAATATTAGGACTAAAAATGATCATCTGGGTCTTATTTTCATTAAAATCCATTCAGTTTAAACTTTCATGCTTAGTGAAAAAAATAATTTTAATAGTAGTAAGTAGATTGTATGTTAAATGTGACAGGCCATGACTGAAAATGTATTTTGAATATGAGGTGATAAATCTCATAAATATTTTTTTCCTTTATTTATTGTCGTGCAGCGTCAAAGGATGCTAACAAGGTGATTGAGATCAACTCATATCTACTGGGGACCATGTCAGGTAGTGCTGCCGATTGCCAGCACTGGGAACGGCTGCTAGCCAAAGAATGCAGGTAGGTCAAGTTACTTTGTGTTGATGTCTTTAAAAAATGTAAAGAGTTGTTCACAGCACAGAGAAAGGGAATTGTAGTTTTTTCTTTCTGGCTAGAAAGTAGGAGAATCCTAATAGATTTTTGCAAATTGGAAAATAACTTATGTTTCCATAGGAATTCTGCTACATGAAACCCGAAAGAAATCCTAAGATCAGTTAAACAAAGTCAAAAAAGTCAAAAAGCCTTTATTGTCATTATATTCTGTGACAGATACAATGAGATTTGGGACTTCCATAACAGCTACCGTGAAATAAAAATAAAAATAAAAAATATATAAAAAATATATAAATATATTAAAAGGAAAAGGAAATGTAAACAGTTACAAAAAATATATATAAATATATTAAAAGGAAATGTAAACAGTGAAAAGGAAATGTAAACAGTACTGGCACAGATTGTGGGGGGGGGGATAGTGCAAACCAGGTGAAAAGTGTCCGTCAGTGCAGGTCGGAGTTAAGGGCGGCAATGGCTTGGGGGAAGAAACTGTTCTTGAGTCTGTTTGTCCTGATCCTCACGAAACCTAACTAAGGGAGAGTTATTATTCTTTTGTCACAGTAAAGACCTGTCTGTGTTTTATGTGAATTTTCAGTGATGCCTTGTGATATTTAAGTCCATGCTTTTCAGTTGTGTTTTGTCTAGTTATCAATACCTGTCACCTCTTTTTGTGTTCTTGGTTTTCTTTCTTTAAATATCTTTCACTGTCATTCACCGTCCATGTTATACCTCTATATGAACCTTACACACTAAAACGAGCTAAGCTTTAAGATTAGTCCAATGCTATGTAAGGGCAGCTTTTTTTTTATCTTAAAAGCAATCTTTATATTGTGAAAAACAAACAAAACAACAACAACAAATAAAACAGCCCGTCACCCCCAAAACACACACAATAATGTATCCAAGCATTTCTTTTAACTACGAGGTATTTAGAGGGCCCTTGTTTCTCTGCTACTCATCTAATTGGTGTTAAGGGACTTGTTTGACTAATATTCAGTTTTACTGTTTGTAGGCTTTACAGGCTGAGAAATGGTCACAGGATCTCTGTGGCTGCTGCATCTAAGCTGCTGTCGAATATGATGTTGGGCTACAGAGGCATGGGTCTTTCCATGGGAAGCATGATTTGTGGATGGGACAAACAGGTAAAGTCTAGTTGTGTTCTATGTAGTCAGACTGCTAAGGAAAGATGTGAACAGCGACCTGGATCATAGTTGTGTGTAGACAGTTATTTATTTGTTTTTACATTAGTATAAAGATAATTGAATTGAAGCAACTAGCAAGCAGTTTGCAAAAAAACTAAAATAAAACCTTAACAAAGTCTTTGGAGATGCCTAAACTGTTTTCCACCCAATCATCTTCTCACACTTAATCCATCAAGACTGTGGTATGGCTGGTGTCAGTCTATGGGCGAAAGGTGGGGTACATCCTGGACATGTCCCTTTTAAAATAATCTGAAATAAATATGTACATTTACAAAGATGCTGAGTATATGGAATAAATCAGTAACAATTTTGAGATATTAAGCTAATTACAATTTTCAAAGTTGCAGTTTGCATTTTTTTATTAGTTTTTTTTTGTTTTAACCATTTTAAATCAACTTTAATTGTGTCCTTCAGGGTCCTGGTCTATACTATGTAGATGACAATGGAACGCGCTTCTCTGGCCAGATGTTCTCTACTGGATGTGGGAACAGCTACGCCTATGGAGTGGTGGACAGCGGTTACAGGGAAGACATGACAGTAGAGGAGGCGTATGAACTCGGCCGCAGAGGCATTGCTCATGCTACTCACAGAGACGCTTACTCTGGAGGGGTGGTCAACAGTGAGTACTAGTTAATAATGACCTTCATCTGTTTATTTGGTTGTTTGCTTTTAACAGTTTTGAAATTTGAGAAAAAAATATTAACATACTGTATTAACTTTGAAGTTTACAGACAAACAAATATTAATCTTATCTTTTATAGTTATTAAAATTATATTTGTTAGCATACGATATGATCTGCAACTTAAGGTACTACATTAAAAACACACTGGACCATTACTTCTAAAAAAAAATGTCTAAAAAAACATATGCCTTTGTGAATATCTTTCTGTGCATGACTTATCAGTGTTTTTTTTTGTGTGTTTTTAGTGTACCACATGCGAGAAGACGGCTGGATAAAGATCTGCAAGGATGACGTCTCTGAGTTGATTCATCGCTACAGAGAAGGGATGTTCTAAGTTCTAAACTTGAACATTGGATATGGGGTGTTCTGGATAAATTGCTCTGGGACTCATTTCAATCCATTTAATAAAAAAAAAATGTATCATGAACATTAGATGAATAGAACTTATCTGTCATAATAAAAGAATACACAATACATGGTGTTGAGATCTATAAAATTGTTATTTAATTTAGGGCTACAACGAACAATTATATTGCAAATCGGTGGGGGGTCATGTGACCGAGAACCATGATGGCAGCACAGTAAATAACGAGGACAGTGTTTGAAATTTTCTTTTAAAACCCTTGTAAAAGCTGTAAGTAAAGCTTGAAAGATACAACACTGATATGTCTAAAGCCTCGTCTGTGAAACTGCGAAATTTTCTCAAAAAGACCCAAGAGAGCCACCAAAATACACAGAGTCCAACGTGCGGTGAAGACGCTAATATGGCTAGCATAGCTGAAGTGTTGGAAGACCTAAAATTGCTGCGGTCAGATTTTGGAGTAAAGCTGGATAGTATGGATAAAAGACTGACTGTAATGGCGAGTGCTATTTCTGCACTGGAATCTGGACACTGGAAGTTTCTGAGGTGAAACAAGACCTATTAAACCAGGTGGCTCATATGGAGGAGGCCGAGGCTCGCAAAGCCAAAGTAATAATAATAATAATTAATTTTACTTTACATTTAACTTCAAATCTCAAAGTGCTACATTAAAAAAGGGAAAATTAAAACAAGTTTAAAAGACCATAACATTAAAACAGAGTAAAAAGACAGTCATTAAAATCAATACATTAAAAGGCATACATAGTCTATTAAAAAAAATCTAAAATCAACAATTGTAGGCATTTCTAAAAAGGAAAGTACAAGGCTCGGTTGAAATAACAGAAGCATTGTTGACTTTAGCTATGAAACGAATACAGATTCTTGAGGCCAAAACATGACCTGGAAAACCAAGGAAGGCGAAAGAATCTGTGTGTCTTTGGCATTAGAGAGGGAGCAGAGGGAAGAAAATCGCTTTTCCACTTTATTAGCAACAGGCTACCGAAATGGCATTCACATTGGAAGAGGTTCACTGCACACCAGCCTCTGTGAAACCAAACCAAGGCAGAGCGGTTCTGATTCACTTTTTTACGTTTCCGAAGAAGGAATTTGTGTACCGAGATGCAAGGAAAGGAGAAATTACATTTGATGGGGCCAAAATCATGTTTTCACAGGATCTATCTGCAGAGACATAACCCCTGCCAACTTTGGATCCTCCACGGTGGAAAAATTAATCTCTTAAGAAACTGAAAAATTCTAAAAGACTCTTCTAAAATAAAAACTGCGGGAGCCTTTGATCAGTGAGTAATGAAAGACAAAATGGTTAGAAAACAGGTAAACAGATAGGACATTTTATTTGGCTATTTCTGCTGCAATAGAGCTGATCAACAACTGGAGTCTAATTTGAACTGTTTGATAATTAATGCTGAAAGTTGAGCCTTAAAGGAATAGTACACCCAAAACATGATTAGCCTTCATTTTCTACTCACCCCCATGCTGAACAAAACTCTGGAGTACTTTTTTGATATCTCAAAGGCATCTGGAGATCTGGGAGGCTTCTTGCTGTCTGCTGACATTCAAATAATGGAGGAATATGGTTTTCTTTACAGAAAGGTCCACAAAAGTCCACAAAAACGTGTCAATATTCCCCCATACTGCTTGTCCAACGTAATCCCAGTGTCCTGAGTGGGTAGCAT